AAAAAGAATATTTATTCCGACCTATCTGAAATATTTAAATTGGTCTCTGTAAAGCTGGAAACACAATAGACACAGGCAATAGGCACAGGAAACAGGGAATAACGAGCCGTCCAATCAGAGCTTTGGGGTATAAGTTCGATATTATATCCCAGAGCTCTGATTGGACAGCTCGTTATTCCCTGTTGCCTGTGCCTATTGCCTGCGTCTATTGTGTTTCCAGCTTAACGTCCGGTGCGCGTGCATTATAGCGCCCCGTCCTTTTACCAGGCGCGAGCTCGGAATACGGAGCGTAAGTATAGCGCGTGCCGACTATGGTCGTGCCAAACTATAGTACTACTATAGTATGCCGTTGAAACTGTCGAGATCTAACTCCGCGCACACTGCGCCTGCGCCGAACATTAAATAATGAAAATAGCAAAAGGATGCTCCTGCGTGCATAAACATTATCACCACCTGGTAGGAAATTCCTAACATAACAGCCGACTTCGACACAATCACCACTAAAAACTACTGTTTAGCGAGAAAAAACGAATAAAAACGCGTATCTCCAACGCAATGCATCACGGTGCAACCTAAAGCGCACCACGAGTCACAAAAGGCATCAGAACACAACAGACATCATCATAATTAACATCGGAATAAGCACAATCAGAAAGAAGCTTTAAACAAAAAAGTCACGCGCGCGACAAGTGAAAGAATCTAGGCAAGGCAGAAACCTATAACGAAAAACGCGCAGAGAACAAATGCAAGTTCTGCTGCAACGGGCTGCGTTACGCGACGACTGAGCGCGCCAATATGAATCTCGCTACCCCCGCAATAAAATAAAATGCGCAACCTAACTAAAATCTAATCATTGTTAGAGTAAATCACAAATAACGTGATCAGCACGTACTAGATATTTCGCAATAGCACGAGGACGAGAACATCCCCTTACCGCGAGGAGCCACGATGTTAATGATATATAAACGAGAGCGCGTTCACGGACTCGCTTCCTTTATTCTTCCATCCTTATACAGAGCTAAGGTAGGAATACCGCGCTTACGATGAGCGCAAGCGACATCTCCTGAAACCCCGAACTCCGGCCTTAACCGTGCGCCTCCCCAGGCGCGTCGTTAAAGCCATCCTCGACCGTGACTCCACGCGCGACTCACGTAGGCGCGCCGACGAGCCACATCTCCTCTGTGGAGCTCAAACGAGCGCCTTCATCGGCGTCGAGGCCTCCACACGCCTTCTCCTTTTATTTTTATCTTCTCTTAACAAAAATACTAAAACCTCGCTTCCTTTTTGTCATCTAAATAGTAGATGCCAAAGAAGAAGCGACCTAGAGGAAAACGCGGCGGATGGAGGGTACACCTCCGAGCCCTCCGGCGGTCTCTGCTCAAACGGGGGAACGAGAACGAAGGATCCGCGCCGACCGCGTCACCACCACCCAGTCCGGCGAGAGAAAAAACCGGGGCGCGACCGCCGACTCCAACCCCCCCGCGCCCTCCGGGAAGGCCAAAGGAACCCGCGGAGTGCTCCAGGTCGGACCGCTCACCCCCATATGTGACTCAAACGCAGATACCGACTCGCCCTAAGTTAATATCAAATATAAAACCAAAATTAATATCTATTCAATCGTGCAAATATTCTAATATTCTTAATATAAGAATATTAGTGAGCTAATCAGCGTCTTTCGTTTATATCCCTTCTAGATCCTTCCTTCAGAAACGGAGAAAGCAGATAGAGTGAGTAAAATGATGACCAACCTACAGCAGCCTCACTCGAGAGATTATAATAATTTCCATGATTAACAAGTGCTTACAGCACGCATGAGGGCGTTTACACGATCTGACGACTCCTCTGACTCTTCTATTTATTTTTCTCTGTGAAGGACCTCGAAGGATCCGGTATTTAATAGAAGTCTCTTCGGGAATCCCCGAGCAACATTAAAGTTTCGTGCCTTTACGAAAGGCACTGGTGACAGCAGCCTGCCTCAATACGCGTAAACAACTACCGAAAGCATTATCTCTGTAGACGCCAAGGCTTCGCCCCGCGCGCCCCGCTCCGCGCTTGCGCTCCACAAAACCTATGCCGCGTCTCGAGACAGCAATTACGATAAACATGCGATTTCGGACGTGACAGTCTCATTTTGATATTCTGTGTATATTTATAGAATATTTGGTAATTCTTTCGAATAGGGGACCCCGCTCCTATGATCTTGACCTTGACATATGTTGTCAAGGTCATGACCTTGAGTAACCTCCAACAAGTTTTAGCCGTCGCTCGTAGTTCGTTAAAAAGTTATTAACAAAAGAAGTTTGAAAAATAATGTATTATTTTTGCTATATATGCAATATTAAATACTATTCTACATAGGTTTTGACTTTCAGGGGCGCACGACTCTCACCATATTCTTCAGTAACTGTGTATCGATAGCGAACGTGGCTCTGAGAATGTTGTATTCGACTAAGGAAATCAACATAAACAGTTTGTTTTGCGCTTCCAAGCAGTGGAAAGTGGGGTGCGAGTTGCTTCACGTGGAAGTCATGTATCTTCATGCAGGAGGGAGGTGGGATGAGAGTTCAAATCTTTGTTTTATATTCAAAATTTTTGTATTAACAACTTTTTAATGAAGGACGAGCGACGGCTAAAACTTGGTAGAGGTTACTCAGGGTCATAACCTTGACAACATACGTCAAGATCAAGGTCATAGGAGGGGGGTCCCCTATTGTACAGTTTTACCGAATATTTTTTAATATATTATAAGAATATTTTAATATTCTCAACGAATGTTTATAGAATATTTATTGAAAGTGTTTGTGTTATCTGGGATGAAGTCTTTGATGTCGAAATATTGAAAACCGTTAATGAAGCAAATAGGGTTAGGATCCTCAACAAATTTTCTATCGATTAGTATTATTCAGTTTGAAAATAGCGGAAAAAGAGAATATTATGCGTAGAGAAATTATACATAAAAATTATAATTATAAAAGAATAAAAAACAATTACTTTTTAATTCACTGTCGTTTGTACACTCAATCCAATCTGACTCCTATATTTATCCGCGCTAAACACCGCCATAGATTCTTCGAGAATCAATTTTGCCATCTATACATTATATTTTCTATGCACGTCTATGCGACGTGCAAAAAAGTTACATATTTTCTGCGATTTTGCCACCAAAATAGCATGTCTATGCACGTCGTTGCGATGTGCAAGAGACGATACATATTTTGTGCGACTTTACGACCAAATATATAGCACGTTTCTGTAAGTATAGTGCAGGCAGGGTATAAATCGTTGAATATTGACTTTCAATAATTTTCTTCTCGAGCACTATCAACTTTAAGAAAAAAATAAAGTAATAAAAATTGTTTGTTTTCTTCTCAGAGTTCTGAGAATTTTTTCAGAATTTTTTAGTACCACATTTTCTCATGTTGATAAAAAATAGTTGCCAATAATAAAATGCAATACTAAAAAGTTAATAAAAAATTCTGAAAATATTATATAAAATATAATAAAAAACAAGTAACAAAATTTTTATTTAGTCTGACTTTGATTATTTATTAATAACACAATTAAAATATATATCCATAATGCATACATCTTATTTTTAATAAAAAAACATTATAACTAAATCTCTTTTTAATTAAATTCAGATACACAAGCTCCAGATTTCATCAAGTCAATGATCGTTTACAAGTACTCTGTTCTGATCTTTTCGAAAATAATGCAGATAGAAGACAAAACAGATGTATTTTAGTGCGTCAACGGATGGCGGGAGTCAAGAATTGCAAGCAATATATATGGATTATAATGTAATTTTTTTAAAAAAGAATACTGTTTATACATATACGATCCCATATGTGTATACAATGTGCCTCACATATTACGTGTAATATCTCAAAAACTATTAAAAAATTTTAAAAAAATGTTTTTGAAAGTGGAACAGTTCGGGGGGGAGGAATACTTCGGTTACGTTCATTTTTTCTAGATAGAGACGACAAAAGGATATGATGGTCATTTTCGCTTTTTTAAATAGAATTATATGATTTTTTACACTATAATCTCAATATATTCTTCTAATCATTTTGCATATAAAAATATCAAGGTAGAGATGTCAAAGAATTAATAATTTACGAGATATTGTGTAAGACAAACCTGGGTTAGTTGGTATATGGAGCACATAAGTATACTCTCTAAATCTGAATCAGTGGATAATCAGTGATATCAGTGCCAAGTATGCCACTATTCACTAATTATCCAGTGACGTATTTAGCACTGGACAATTAGTGAAGTTCAATTAAAAAGAAAGAAGATTTGAGCATTATATATCCTAAAATATTAATATTTATATGTTAATTTCAATCTTCTAATACTATAGTCATTGAACTGCTAAAAAGTCAGCTGGAACTGGCTGCTAAGGGGTACTTTACTCTTGGGGTGCGATGCCAGCGCTCACATTAAAAAATTGTTTAAAAATATTTAAAGTCCGTAATTGTCACTAAAACTTATTAAGAACTGTTGTACTATTCGAGAACGAAAGAATTCCATAATAAAAAATCATTTTTGTGAAACTTGAGGTGTGTCCGCTCTTAAATTTAAAATTTATTTAAAAATATTTAAGGACCGAAACTATTGTTAATATTTATCAGGAACTGTAGAACTCTTCGAGAATTATAAGAGATTTCATAAGGAAAATCAACTTTTTCGAATCTTGAGGTGCCACGCGAAGTTAGCTCCTCATATTCTTTTTTTTTTGTTTTTTTAAGTTATATTAACGGAACTATTTATAAAACCTAGCAGGGGAACTGTAGAACTATTGTGGATGCAAGCAGAACTATTAATAAAATTTCCCAAAATTGGAAATTTTATTAACAATTCTGCTTGCATCCACAATAGTTCTACAGTTCCTGCTTCTTGTAAGAAGGAACGTCCAAGGATCATATAGGAAGGAGTACGCAAATCGAGTTAGCAAGAAAGCAAGTCTCTTGGAGATTCCCAATCTTTTTTGAGGCATGTTCGGATTCCCACCTGGATGTTCTCCGAGTTTCATGTCATCCTTGTTCAACGTTCGGTAAATAACAAGGATGGAATGATATCTGGGCTACGTTGCTATTCTCTACTCAAGTGCCTGGATGGGTAGAGAATAGGAACATAGTCTTGGATGTGCTTTCTAGACTCCCGAATATTGTAGAAAATATTGCAATATCTTCTACAAAATATTAAAATTACAATATTTTGCAATATTTTGCATGCACGAGTCGAAATTATAATAGGTTATTAGAAATATTGCAATAATATTGCAAAATATTGTAATTTTAATATTTATCTCTCTGGTGGCAGGACCGCGTACTTATTTACTGAATTATAGTATTGCAACAATATATTGCGACAATGTTTTATGAAATATTGCAATTTTTTAAAATAATATTGCTGCAATATTTCGTGCTGTATGGATTATTTTACATATAATAATATATGTTTATGAATATTTATACGTGTTTATGTATATTCATACATATTTATACATATTTATACATATTTATACATGAAAAATTTTTTACCGGGATGTTTATAATATGTACATATATGTGTATAATATATTATATATAATCAGATCCGGCAACTATAGTGTGAAATCGTGAAGCACTTCATACCTAAAATTTAACTAACTTAGTGTGGAAATCCACACCAAAGGAATCCAAGAATTAAAAATCAACTATAAACCTTTTAAAATGTGAGCGGATGCTGATCGATATTTGTGATAGCAGTACAACTGCGGGCACAGCAGAGATTCAACTTTTAGAGATCATTTATACTAGCCATAATAATGTGCTGTATGTCGTTATCTCTAAGAATTGACTAATCACAGTCGAGCATTCCTCTCTTATAATTGAATGAGAGGGGGATATTCGAATGTGACTAATCACTTTTACAAATTACGGCATACAGTTACGGCCCATATATAAATGAGCTCTTGCCAACTGTTAGACAGAGCGTCGCAATTTGCAATTGTTAAAAAATGGTCGGCAACAAAGAGCACAAAATAACTAAAAAATAAAAAAATGGTCATCATTTTGTACTCTTTCCTTTTTCCTTTCGTCAGTCATAAATTCCACGCCCACGAGATAAGTTGCCGGTCCTGTATATAATATATACAGGGTGAGGCAAAAGTATGGAAACCCCCGAATAAGTTTTGAGGAAGGC